GCTCTCTGCGCACCGCAGGGTTGACCCTGGTCGCAGCGCTACTGTAGTCATTCCACGTCATTTAAATTGGAATTTACTACAGTACGCTCACACCGCACACCACGCGCTGCGACTCATCCGCTGAAACGTCTGCTACACTGGTTGCTGAGCTGGGAAACGAAAAAAACGGAGGTCGTCGTTGACTTTTTTTGGCGAGGAGGGCTGGAGGCCGTGCTCAGATCCCCTTGGTGAGAAAAAACCGACGCTGTGGAACAGATTGACGCAGAGGGGCTGTGAGTGATCAACACCCAGCTGTTTCTTGCCATTTTCGTACCTGTCCAGTTCTGTATCGTTTTCCTTGTTTGAATAGGCAATAGTAACAAACTGTGTAGAAGTTTGGTTAATATTGAAGAGAAGTCGGTAAGTCGATATACCAAGAGGTCGAAGGTGAACACGGAACACAAGCTGAAATTAATCTGGGCAAGATTTCATAGATACAAAACCATTGATCAATCCATCATCAAACTAACCCGAAATATCTCCCTATCGATTTTTCCATCACGGATGTACGGCTCAATTTGTGCTTCAATCGATTGCCCATCGAATTCGACCTCGACCATCGCATTGTTTATTCGTACGCTGACAACGTCTTCCATAGGATATGGGAGAGTATTAACGACTTTCAGGGATCCTGGAAGGAGTGATTCAAGGGAGTGAAGAGAAATACTTGAGCATGATACCTACGTGACATTCTTCTTAGTGACATCCAGTACTTTCAGGGACGTTGTTGCTTGACTTGACATACTGTATTCCACCTTAATTCGCACATCGGTGACGACAAAAGGATGGAAGGATAAAGCATTTGCCGTTGATCAATCCCTTTTTGGGATGCGGCACGCATTCTACTTCCATTTGTACATTCGTAGTGGCGTTTGAATGCGATGTGGCCTATACAATGACTTGCGGGGGCCAGCCGATGTACAAGTCAGTGTTTTTATCCTCCCAGACAAGTCTGGTACCAATTCCCGGAGGGATGGAAGGCTTGGTTGGCCCGGGCGACTCACGACCCAGGATTTGATCCCCGGACCGCTCGCGTGGTAAGCGTGCCACTTGCCACTACACCACTTCCGCCCTTCACTGATATAACGGTCCACAAAACAAAAAAAACTCATAATATCTTAACAAACGATAAAAGGATAAAGCTTTGCCGTTGATCGATTCCTTTTGGGATGCGGCACGCATTCTACTTCCATTTGTACATTCGCAGTGGCGTTTGAATGCGATGTGGCCTATACAATGACTTGCGGGGAGCCAGCCGATGTACAAGTCAGTGCGTTATATGGGATCTAATGCGCACACCGCTCGCTTTATAATGGCGCTACTAAGATGCGTAAAAGACATCTTAGTAACTAGCGCAATATTTAGTTCAAATCTCTGCCTATTTAAGCGGGCCTTGAATTGCTTTTGGGTCAGCAAACTCAAAGGCAGCGATTTAGATAGGTCGGAGAGATTTGAAAGGGACAATGGTGCACCAATAAAGAGGAATCCGTGAAAACGCAAAGCGGGACTCCCTGACTGGCCAAAGTTTTCCCTACTATAATGGTAGCGGTTAAGAGGTGAGAGACGTATGGACGAGTTTACGCAACGCGTTTGGTGGCACCATGCCAACCATGCTCCAGTTGAGTTGCTCCAGTTGTGCCGCTGCTGGCAACACAGCTCGTCCAAATCACCAACTAAATTACTTTATGCTCTTTTTTCATTGAGAATATCCAGAAAATGAATAAAAGTGAGAAAGTGTGCTCTTCAGGGATGCCGATCATTTTGATACCATATTTTCCCTAATTAGGTCAACTTCGCTGAAATCCATTTTTGAACGAAGTTGCATCTTTGAAGCGGAAAATAAGGAGAATGGGCCAAACTATGACATCAGCTGAATAGTGTACCTCTTCTAATTAACCTACCCTGCTGATAGTAAGCTTTTCAAGTTCCTCTCTGCCACCAGCTGTCAATTTCGGGCCCTTGTTTGAGAGGAATTTTCACATTTTTTCATCGAAAGGAAACCTCCAAAAGTTATAGCATGAAGTTTGCAGATTACTTTAATGAGAGCTGTTCCCACACTCTCTAATGAGTCTTATGGTTAGGCATGGAAATGAAAAAATCAAATTTTCTGAAATTTGAGAGGCATTCTAATAGCACTCGACGAGCTGAGTCTAATGGTATAGTTTTTCGTGTCGAAAAGTGATCAGAAATCAAATTATAGCAAAAAGACGAAAAAGACGCGGATCCGCGTCTTCCGCGTCTTTTTTAACAAAGTTATGGGCGGTACTGTACCTGCCCAGTGCAATCCCTGTTTATACATAATCGCTTTCTTTACATCAAATTTTTCGGAATGATGAAAAATGACTCGGTCATCGAACAGGCCAGTTCAGTCATTTCGTAGGCATAGTATCGATTCAAATCCTGCGATTTACAATGCGACTCGAGTAGTCTGCCACAATATTGTATACAAAATGGTACTAACCATTTCTTCCTTGTCATTACTCACTGCGCCAAGAGATGATTCAATCACTGAATTTGCCAGCAGAGTTGCATTATGTAATTGTTCAGAATAGTCCTTCATCACATGTTTTTTGCTAGTTCCTGAAAATTTACTTACACTAGGTGAGAACGAAAGTTCTGAAGCATCCCATAGCTCAGTTTTGAGAGAGTTATTCTTTATTTATTTGTTCAACGATCGTTAACATATTACATAGAGATAGTTGTCGACTATCTGGCTCTAAGAATTAATGAACAATTAAAGTGTAAATTTCAAAAATGCGCTATAGATAGTTTCAATACCTTTCTTCTAGCCTGATAAAAAGCAAAGTCAAAAAATAATAGACAAAATAAAATACTATAATAATAAGTTGAAACCATAAGTCTTGCCCTGTTTTTGACAATTTAAATACTACTAGTCAAGAAACCTGACGCAAGGCTGAAGGAACTGTTCACGAAAAAAAGAACTTCAAAACTTCAGCAGGGTTTGCTAAGACATTTGGTCGGGTAGTCATAAATTTTTCCGACCCCTTCAGGCTCTGAAGAAGGCGATCTCCTCGCCGAAATAGCCCAATAAAACTCGTTTATCAACCTCGTGAAGCGTTAAGAAGACATCAACAAAAAAACTCCCTTCTCTCCTCGTACAATGTGTTGTCCCTGGTTATAGGCAATCACGCACGTAGTCGCGAGCGAAAAGCGAGAAGGAATCCCAGAGAAAGCCACCTGCTGGATGTTATTTGGATTGGACAGAAACGCTGTTGTGATTGTGATGAAGTGTATGGGCCACGTGTACATAAATGGGTGAATGTCAACAGAATCGTCCGGATCCCCGCGCTACGGGTCGTGGCTGCGACGTCGCAATTGCAGTGGACGAGTTTCTGTGAGCGTCATTGAATTTGAATGTTACAGGGACGCCAAGCAGGCCCGTCCCTTTTGACATTCAACTTCAATCGACTGCTGCAACCGTCAAATTCAAAAATGCTGAGCTTCTCGAGAAATTGCGGCGCCCCGACGCCGGGCTAGTGGCCGCATGCGGCGGCAACGACGACCGGGAGATTCTGTTGACCGCTTCCCCGTGTAAGGTCGACGTCATAGTTTGCGAATCGCGTGATTTGCTAGCGAATCGCTCGATTCGCAAACTATGATATCGGCCTAAGTCTCTGGTGTAGTTCACTAGGAAGCTGACGACTTCGTTCGTCGCACGCAGGAAGTTCCACGTGAGCCGCTCACGTCCATGCTTCTGACACGTTTGCACGTATTGGCACCCCACCACCAGTGGTTGTGACAGTTTTACAGCGGGAATTCGAATGTATAATATTCTACTTGGTAATTTGAATTATTATCAAATCGGTCATTTTTGTTCCGTTCTTTTTGCTATACATACAGCAAAGGGGCCACGGTATTAATTTCAGTTAAAATAAATACCGCTTTTTTCGTGGACGATCCTTCAAGCACGCCCATTTCATCGAACAGATTACATTTCTTGAACACCGGGAGACGGTCAATTCAATCGTCGGCTAATGAGGTCACGCCGCACGCGGCGGGCAGCGTCGCGCGCGGCAAATGGTGCGGCGATTTTTGTATGGGCCTTGGCTTAACGGTCCTTGTCCATAAGTTGCTGGTGGGGTTAGAGAACTGATAAGACCAAAGTTCCAGACATCAGTGAGCCAACAAGAGTCACCTTAAGATCTCCGCAGTTATTTAAGCCTCACTGTACAGAGCTTGTGCCGATGTAAAGGTTGTCCTTTTGAACATAATGAGACTTCTAGTTGATCAACTGCCTGAATTGTTATCATAGAGCGATAATCTGGCTAAATCGGAAAAGTATTACGCAGTGGAACGGTGAGGAAGGCATTAACATCAGTATGACAGAATAAGTTTGTAATAATGGCAAAGGACAAGGATCCTACTTTAAGGGGGCAGGTGATCATATACCGTGTTTCACGACTGGAACTTCATCTAATCCTACATTCCCCAATGCTAGAACCTGAATTCTAACCACGGCCGACGTCGCATCGCGGGCTGCGGCGGCTGGCGCGGCGACCTAGCTATCGCCACGATTGAATAGTCACGCACCCCTTAAACCACGATGAGCCCGTCGTGCGCGCAGGAAGGTAAGAGACGAGTCGCAGCGCGTTTTTCAGTGATTCTGCGTCAAGCCAAATAGAATGTACCACTGTACGTTCTACATAGTACAACACGCACTGCGACTCGTCCGCTGACTAGGCCTACTATACACGCGATGGGGCTCCTGTTGGGTACGACGCGGCCTCTTGCAGCCCCTGTTGGAAACCACATACTCTTAAATTAGAGTACGCTGAAAAACCTCAAACTCTGGCCGAGAATCGCGTGAGACTGTCCTATCTTATCAAAAATTGTCTTTATATGTTCACTGATGTGTTCAAATAGCCTTCTAAAAGCACACGATTTATGACAACATTTCTTTCACCACCTTTCTCTGAGCAGTTACTCTTGCTTCCACTCAAGGCTTTTCAGTCGACAAAAGGTCTTTGGGCGATGAGAGCTCTGCTTTCCCATTTCGGAGTCATTTTGATGGGTAGGACGCAGTCATCATTAGTATTTATGTACTTTATGTATCGCGCAGGGAGATCAGCGTTATTGCAGAACCGGCACAAAAAGCCTTCTAAACAGCCTTAAGAGCATCAAAATACACATCATGACGGGCCCTGCCACAGAAATCGGAACGTACTCCTTTCCTCATCAAGGTTGTATTTTTGTATGGATATCCCTTAGCGGAAAACATAGGATCAATGGTAAAGAATTCTGTTTTCGCACTGATTCACCCCCTTTTTTAATGCGCATGAATCTAACAAACTATCCGCTTATGTACAGGCGCGAGTCGGCGAACGGGAATCGGGATTGATTCTGTGAGACACATTTTGACGGTAGAATACGTTGTAGAAGTCGGGTGATGTAGTGCGCCTTCTTGTGGCGGCTGCAGTCTACAGGAACGGCTCACGAACGGCCAGAAGCATCGTTGATACGCCTACCACACGAAATGGGGAACGAAAACCCATTAGGAGAATCCAAGCCCGCTTACGTGTTCAGCGTGAAATGCGCCTTTAAGTAAGAAATTTTACCCTTACAAACACAGGACTAATAGTTACCAGTAAAATGGCATCGATGTGCTAGAAACAAATAGAAAAGCCTTGTCGAGCAGTGATATCAGCCATTGCCGTTGGTATATACGATGACACACGCTTAGCTATTGCCACTCTGAAGACAGACAGCAAGGTCAGCAGCTCGTAGTAACCACTGAATTACCATGTCTGGATATGAGTCGTTTGATTTTTGGATTAAATCTTTAAACTAATCAGTCCAATGTCAAGAGTTGATAATAGATCAAGCGACCTCTCCCCTTATCTTTTCTTACTCCGATGTCTCAACGACGCGGCATTGCCCCTCCATAGTATATTAGATGTGATGATACTAATCGTTTTGATTTGGTACGAATTGTTAGACAAATTCGTTCAGTGTGAATTATATTATAATTCAAAAAAAGTAGCAACTGCAGTGTGTAGCACGTCCGCTTTACGCCAACAAACCCACACCCCCTCCCCACCCCCTTGTTCATTGCTTCCTTGAGATTGATGATATCCCTTGCTAATCTCCTGTAGAAGTGTTCAAATTTATGGAACAAAACTATGGAATAAACTCTTCTTACATGAAGACGTCTTTCTTGTGCCTTGTAGAACGGCCTAGTTGAATAATAGCCAGACCATGAAGCCAGACGCATGTAACCTATAACAGCTGTTCTTACCGTCAGCTTGAGATTGAAAACGGTCCACATTTTTCGTCAAAAAAAACGAAGGAGCTAAGAGAATCACAGGATTTCCTGCGCGCCGTTGTGGAGTTTTTAATTCATGTCTTTAGCGGCTAATGTAAATTACCTAGAGCTTTGGACTAATATACCTCTCACAAAGCACTTCTAATGCCCCCAACATTAGACCGATACCGTTACGCGGCCGCACGCGTCTGTAGATGCCGCCTTACTTCGGGGGAAGAAATGGAATATATTCATTCTCCCAGCAGTTCAGGCATAAAACAACGATTTCTGAGCAAAAACTGAAAGCATATCGCAATATACAGAGGCATTTTGGTGGCAATGCATTTGAACCGAGTAAAACGTGTCCTTTTTGCTGAAAACGGGACTAGGTGTTAGACGGGGTGGGAGAGACTTAGGTGCGCTTGCACCTTTGTCTCACCGTTTTTTGTGCTTTTCGCCGGAACTCCTGCCCCAGCTAGGCTTGGTTCTGCAGGATGCCTCCGTGCTCCTATTGAGATACCGCCCAATTCTACATTACTGAGCCTGCCTTTTGTCTCGAAAATTGCAAGCTCATTTCTATGAAGATTGTTTCGGAAGGAATGTATATGCAAAAGTTCTAAAAAGCCCCAAAAAAATCGACAATTTCCCGAAAATTCCACGCATTTCAAGAAAATTCTATTCCCAAATCTACTAGAAATATGACCACATCTCAACGCAATGACAAAATACTACTCCCATAATTGACTAAGCCAGATGAAGTGTTCACCATGGATCATACTGTAGTGCAGACGAAGACCATGGACAAGAGTGCAAAGGTTCGAGACAAAGATAGTGCAAGTGTTGACTTATGAACATATCAACAAATGCAGACAAACAGTCCTTACGACCATGAGGTGGGACAACTTAAGGCAACACCCACAGATCGAATTTGTGGGGTCACAGCGGTGTGTATGAAGTTGTGGATGCGATTAAAATGAAAAAGAAGCAAAGAAAATCGTCGATGAAGCCCAAAACAAAAATTACCCTTGAAATAAGGAAGGGCGGGGCCGGACGAGTTGTACGAACTTGCCTGCTCCACGGCTCAACTAACCCGCGCGTATTTGAACACGCCGTAATCTACATTGCGTGTCATGGGGTGGCCTTACGTAACTCGTCCAAGTGCTAAGATTAGTCGCCAAATGCTGACCTTAAGGAGAGCCCAGCCCATTTTTCGTGCTTTTTCGAGCCGTGACAACGGCACCTCTACCTGGGTTACTCTGTCTCACAATATTCTTCGGCACGAGTTTTGCTCTGGTCAAGCGGTCGTAAGCCTTTGCAGAAGGAGGTATGTGACTTTATGGGTAAAATAGATGCTAAATGACAATTCACCGCCACATACTGACTATTCCCTTTATAAGCTATCGGACCACTTTCTCTATTCAATAATACATTATACGAAGTTATACGAGAAAAAGTCTCCTTTGAGAGTAGTTGGTCGCGTTCCTTTCCAGTATACCATTCCTCTAATACATCGAAGAATTTGGTGATAGTACCGAATCTGAACTGAACAATGAAATAATTAAATTCATGGGAAACAAACATCGGAACTTTTTCTGGAGCGATGGTTAAGGTACCGTCTTTGCAGTCGCAGAGCTTTTTATTTGTTAACACCTAAAAGCTCCTATACGCGTAGCTCCTTTTTTCGAAGAAAAGCAATGAAAGTAATGGGTGAAATTGCTTGTGTCAAATCGTCACTATAATCATTTTCCGAGGTGAGACAGTAGTATTACTGATCGTTGAATGAATAGGCTCAGTCGAAAGCACATTCCTAAAGTTCATTAAATCAGTCCCTATTCAAATCAATCAGTAGAATGCAGCTCTTGTGACAAGCCGACAATATAAGGGGAGGAGGGTAAAAATATTTTTCTCATGTCGCTCATCAGCGACTTTTCGTCGCAAAAAACCACCGCTGTTGACGGAAGACTTACAGTCACATATTTCTTAGCAATGTCTTCAGCCTAATCAAGCTGCGCTCTTCAGAAGACGTCATCTGCCATCGCTGTCAAGCTCAAGGACCTGCCGCATTTGCACTAGCCTGAGCTGCTATTCACTTCTTGAGTCGATTCAGTATTGGATGCTTTCTTAGAGACAGTAGCTCTGTCACTGCAAACCCTCACTGAGCAGTATTCAAGACAAATTCGTAGGGGCTACTGATCCATCTCTAATACAGTTTGAGCTTGGCGCACTATGTTCCGTTGGCAAACTTTTTGAATCGTCGCGCAGAAGGTTTACCTTTACGCTGTAGTCTTAATTATCCGTTTATGAAGTGGGATGTGCTCTTCAATGTTCAGTTGAAATCTCGAAATCCGCAAAATAAGTTTAGTTCCCTTTCAAATGATGAAAAAAAATGTATTCTTATGCCTACCCTCTCCTCTCCCCCCCCCCCCCATTGCATGGAGTGCAGGTGATCGCTATTAAAAGAAACATCGGGAAACTGCAGAAACCCGAAAAACAATACCTTCGCGCGTGTTGGTTGCGAGAGTGGTAGCAGCTTAGAGCTGAAGTAGAGGTTTTCTGCAGTTTCCTGGTCAAGGTGAAGTTGAACACTCGCATCATACCACAGGCGATCGATAGGCAGTTGCTGCTTCGATTAATCGTGTAACAGTACTAATGCATAAGAAAATCCAATGAGTGCAGTAGCGGCTTCTTTTAAACTATGGCGTCATCATCCCTTTAGTCCTGGCAGTAGGCGTGTCTGAGAACCAGAAAGGCCTTTGAGACGTTTTCGACGCCTTATAACGCCGCTACTAGCGCATCTTTCACTATATCGCCACCTATCGTCTTCCTGGTCCACTTTTCTGATCTCTACATTGCCAATATTTCCCTTTCATGTGAACCGTTTTTGTCTCCAATGAGCTAGCTGGGGCCACAATGGCTCCAGCGTCTTGAAAGCGAGGAGCAACAGCCCCAAGGAATTGATCTATATTGATGACCGTTGTGAACGCTCTGGTGTCTGCGTCTCTCTTGTACCCATGGTTTACCGCCTCGATCCCTTACAGATTCCTCCATCGCCAAATGGCAGGCATTGGTTTCTCAGCGTTTTTGGAAGAATTCTTTCCTTTTTCATTCACTGGCGCTTCACTTCGCTCCTATACCCCTTTTTCATTTGAATCCCAAACTCTACAACCTCCCAATTGTTCAACATACTTCCAATGAACTTATAGTTAACCGCAATTAAACAAGCACAGTACCTTTCCCATCGCTCTGCTCGCATCATTTCATTGACAAACTGATTACCCTATCTCTATTTCGTTCTTCGAATTGATCTCGTCGAACAGGAACCGAAGAGCTTCATATTGAATTTTCCATTCAAACGGCGTTGTGAATCGAAAATCGTCACCGTAGAACATGATGACCACATTCGAGAAGTACTGTTCTGACATTTTCATCAATTGTTCGCTAAGCTTTTGTGCTCTGAAAAAAAAACATAATACTACCGAACAAATAAATCAATAAATACATTTTGGTTTTCGTTCTTGTTTGGATTCATCAGCATGTTTTAGCTGTTCTTCCGTAAGTTTTTCATCATCT